AAACACTGCTGTTTACCTTAGAATATTATAATAATAAATTGTAGGGTTGTCAGAAGTATTGAATGTCAGATACTAATCCATACTAGGGATGGGCATTCGATGAAATTTTATTAATCGATCGTCGGGAGAGTTAACGATGGATTTTCAATTAATCATTAACGTTTTTATATAATATAAAGTATAATCATTATTATTACTATTTTTAATTTGCATAAATAAACTCAACTTTACAACATATTAACCATAACCACTCTAGAGCCACATCCTGTTTGACATTAGAATGTGTTTAATGCAGCTTTGCGCAAGTCTCACAGAAACAAAACTTAAAACTGCATGGCAAATTTGCATCAACTAAGCGGAGAAAAAACCCGCTCTTGTGCGCTGATGCAGTTCAGCTTCTGTCAGACTAAAGGACACAACTCAGTGGAATATGAGTGTTCTTTCTGTGACAGAGGGATGTTGATGCTGAAGTTGAGTCTGTTCTGTGTGTGTGTTGCGATGCTTTCAAAGATCGTACGTGTGCAGGTTTAGTGCAGCTCTTTATATTACAGTAACCGAGATACTGCGTCTACATGCACCATGATGAAACCGGGACACTGATGTGCTGTAAACACACTCACTGAGAGGTACAGTGTCTCCAAGAAGGTGCCAGAGCACAAACGTGGGACTGTCAGAAGCAGCTTCATATCTACACGAAACCTACATTCGGTTTGTCAATTAGAAATGAACGTAATCGACAAAATTCTTAATGATCAATTATTGATTAGTCAACTAATCATGCCCATCCCTAATCAATACTAAAGTAGATTTGAAACTAGATGCTTATTTGAGCAGGTATCAAAATGGAAATAAACCTTTCTTAACTTTAGTATGTTCTTGCGTTGTATCAGAACAAGCACTTTTGTTATAATGTTGACATTTCATTCAGTTCTTTAACCAAGGCATTTGGAGGTAGTCAGACTGGCGCCACCTAGCGCCTCCACTCAATTTCATTTCTCTCCAGCGACTAGGTCAAGAATCAGAATACACTAGACCTAGACAGTTTGCAAGAAACCCGGAAGTTGTAGACTGCGCACCGGCCAATCAGCAAAGAACTGTGAAGCCACGACGTCAAACTCCTGTCTGGGTCCCTTTTGTGGTACAGCACAACCGTAAACAAAGTGTTGAGATGTAGATGAAGACAGACATTCTGTGTTGGCAACGATTCCTGAAAACAAGGATTTAAAGCCGGAACAAAGAGAATGTGCCCTTCTTCCTACGGGGTTTGGCGCATTATATACGTCATGACCAAATAGCAGCGGTTGATTAAATTAAAAGTACCTGCCGACCGTCGAGCAAACGAATCCTAAGGCTGCGAGGTCAGACGTTTTCAACGGAATGATACCGGCTGATGAATTAGGATAATTTGGCGGGATAGTAACTGAGACAATTTTCTCATAGTAAAAAGGATCATTTAAAAAAATGTTTCATATAATGATTACGGGTTAGTCAAATTTTTTTCTATCATTTTGGCACTTTGTTTTATTTTAATCATTTGGTTCAAACATGTATCTGAACACAACAGAGGCACAGGTGATCAAAATATTTGGAGCATTTCTCATCACTTTACAGAGATCTCGAGCTCTTTCTCAGATCATGTGACACAGCTCTCACACACAAACACACGTGATCATTAAATGCATCTTGTTTTTCAATGCCACACGTCTGTTCATGAGCGATAAGGGAAGTTGGCTCTAACACTGTCACTTTCACTCTAGACATGACATAACGGCAAAAAGCAAATAGCACCCAAAATTCACTGTATCAACAAAGGATTTGACACATCAGTCGGAGCACAAAGACTGTGTACAGAGACGTCCTGCTGTAGTCTATAGGCCATACATTGTTGTTGTAAAGGTCTAGTTGGATCTTTTCAGAATGTATTTGCTAATCTGGCGTCTATGTTTAGCAAGTTTAACAAGTATTGGGATAAAATACAGTTTTGCACACTAAATTTTACAGTAATATTCTAATATATCAACACAAAAAACAGCTCTTCCAGCCCCAAAAGCAAAGTAAAAGTGTAAACCCCAATGTCAAACTGCACTAAAGCAGGGATTCTCTGTGGTCGCTGAGAGCAAGACTAGAGCGCAGGCTTCTGAGCTGCTCCGTCACATGATGGAGCACAGAAAAACACATCAGTAAGTGTGAGAGTTTTGATGGTAAAATTTGTTTTTTTTTGTTTTGTTTTTTTGATCTGTGAAAGGAGCAGGGTTTATAAGATGTTCCTGTTCCTTTTGTTCATTTGTTGTTCTCTTTAAATTGATGCCAACAAAATAATAACATAAGCAATAAATAAATCCTCCTCCAAAAGCAAATTTATGTTATTTATCAGATTTGAATGTAAAACTGCATTTTTCTCAGCTACAATTATTTTTAGGAAAACCGTAACCCTGCTTGAGATTTGGTGTAGGGATGGGCATTCGATTAAATTTTCTTAATCGATCGTCGGGAGAATTAACCATCGATTATCAATTAATCATTAACGTTTTTATATTAAAATTATCATCATTATTATTACTATCTGCACTACTAATCTTATATAAATAAATTGAACTTTACAACATATAAACCGTAACGACTCTAGAGTCACATCAGCCCGTTTGACATTATAATGTGTTTAATTCAGTTTTGTGCAAGTCTCACAGAAACCAAACTTAAAACCACATGACTAATTTGCATAAACTAAGCGAATAAAAAAGCAGCTCTTGTGTCGCGGTTCAACTTCTGTCGGACTAAAGGACACGACTCAGTGGAATACAAGTTAGTGTGACCATATTTGCGTTTCTCAAAACCAGGACACCGTACGGGGGGTGGGAGGTGGGGACTTGACATTGACATTGAGCTACTCTCACCTGGCAAAGCTTTTTTAAATGTTTTTCGGTGTCCTGGTGCTTTGAGGTCCCTGGCACTGCCACAGGACACCGAAACATATGTACCTGCTTTGTACACACTGTGCGCATGGCCTCCCACTTGTCTGAGTCGGGATGGTTTGTGTTTGCTCGCTCCTCCTGAGTCACAGAGAGCTACGAGAGACACTCAGTTTAATGGCCTAATGAAAGATAATGAAAACCTGGACCTTTTCATCACTATAAAAAAAAAAAAAAAAAACGGATGGCCAGGACGGGACGTGAAAAATGGACATGTCCAGGAAAAAAACTGACATTTGGTTACCCTATGCTACGCACAGCAACCTACATTCGGTTTGTCAATTTAAAATGAACGTAATCGATGAAATTCTTAATGATCAGTTATCAATTAATCGACTAATCATTTGGTGTAAGCTGTTTTACAATTTTCAAAAGAAAAGTGTGCCAAAGCGAGTAAAACAAACTGTGAATGATCCAATAATATCCAATAATCTGTCACATGTACTTGAAAACTATCAGTAACAGAAATGATATTGTTTTCTTTTATGAAACAGTAATACTTACTAGAGCCCGACCGATATGGATTTTGTTGTGGCCAATATGATACCAATATAATGGGAGTTGGAGCTGCTGATATAATCGCCAATATATTTAGTGATGTAAAAATTCACTGTAAATCTTGAATTATTAAAAAAAAAAACTTAGGTTTGGCTCTGGTGGATTTTAAACTGGGTTTATTTAGGCAACATTTATTGCTATTCTGCCTCTTTACATGATATGTCATAGGACTAAAGCAGGTCTAAAGCAGAACTGAATCAGGACTAAACCAGCACTGAAAAAGGACTAAACCAGGACTAAAACAGATCGAAACCATGTGTAAAACAGGACTAAACCAGAACTTAACCAGGACTGAGTGTCGGGACTCGGTCTCTATCTCTCTCCCTCTCTTGACCCCAAGATTAGTCCTGGTTTATTTTATGCTGAATATATTTATGCACGTTTTTTTTTTATCCTATGCACACGTAGATTTTTGAAAGTTTCGTTTTGAGCCGCTACGGCTGTCAAACTACCACAAGTCTGTACGCCACGTGAAGAGAAAAAAAGGGAGAGAAAGAGAAAACACGACTCCCAATAAGGATCAGGCTCCCGTCGTTCGCTTCAAAGAGCCGGCTCTAAGAGCCGCTTCGTTCACGACCGACTCATCACTACTAGCGAGTAAATAAACAATTGCTATTAGCCTTTAGTCGTAAATGCTGCGCACCGCGGTAATTAATTATATGCGCAAATGTCATCATTCACACCGTCTATTCACAGCTCATTTACATATCAATGCAGGTCCAGTAACAAATATATGACCAATATAGTCACTTTTCAATAGACCAATAGAAAACAGCCTGTTTATGTGCGAGAGCGACAGCAGCTAATCTCTAACCTATCAGAACGAACCAAAACTAACATCAAAGTCGACATATTTCCAACACTCAGCCTCACACAGGCTCCTCCTCACATCACAAGTCTGCACTAATAAATGTCTTTTTAATCCAGACTCAAACCGATTGTCCATAAAAAGAAAATAATCTCAGTGTTGCACATGGATCTATGTCTACGAGTGTAAACAAACGCACGTGACTCTGGGGGTGTGTTCAGGGACAGTACGGACACACACAGACAAATGACTCCGCAGATAAATACTGATGCAGAGCCACATATCTGGACATTTATCTGTCTGTAAATTGGATTAAATGAACATAATGTAGAGAGTCTAAGCTTTATAACGAGGTATAACATGCCCACGTGAAATATCGGCCCCTGTCAGCAAGCATATTGGCCGATATGCCTCCAGGTGCTCATATCGGCCGATAATACCAGCCAGCCGATATATCGGCCGGGCTCTAATACTTATGCAATATTTACACGAGAGTACACGCTGATGTCTTTACCACTAAACAGGATAACACATGCTTTTTTTTTCACTGCCAACTCAATTACTGGGCCTTAATTGAATCGCTGTCCCTAATGGCTTGGCGATATGCGCTCTGAGCACTTGACTTAACAGGAATAATGAAAGGCCTCTGTCTCCTCTCTGCGCAGGATCCTCGGAGCAAACACAAGTTCCGGGTGCACACGTACTCCAGCCCCACCTTCTGTGACCACTGCGGCTCCCTGCTCTACGGGCTCATCCACCAGGGCATGAAGTGTGACCGTAAGTATGAACTCTACACTCAGCTGTCTGTGCGGCCTCCAAGACTGTTTTTTTGTGCAGAGTTTAGGGTTAAAGTTACTATAGTGTTGGTTCAATGTGGTTTTGTTGGTGTTTCGGTACATTTATTCTAATTGGTGGTTTTCAGAGTCTAAAATGTGATGATGTCATACTCCCAGATGAGGGGCAAGAGCCAGATTTCCTTATAGGCCCTATTAACGCTTATGTCACAAACCAGGAAGACGTTTGGAAACATGTGATGGCAACCTCTGGGTGGAGTTCCCAACACTGAGCTCGCCGACTGTGACAAAGCCTATTGAAGTAAATGTGATCAGTGGTAAAATGAAGACTGCAGACGTATGTGCTGTTTAGAATCATCTGGAATTTGGTGCCCTCATCTCTTCTAATCACATGTACCCAGTGCATCAGTGCGGAAATTATTAGTGTTGTAGTACTCAAGACTGGTCTTGGTCTCCAAACCGGCCTCGAGACCTGTGCGGCTTGGACTCGGCCTCGTCTTGGTCTTGAAGCTGCTTGGACTTGGTCTCTTGACGGACTTGAGGTCTAACTCCAGTTAAGAACTTGGAAAAAAAAGGTTTAAAATCCAACCACTTTCTTCACAGTTTTGTGTAAAGTGCCAGTGTAAAAGTTCTCTTAAAAAAGAAGGGGTTCTCAAACTGTGGGTTAGGGTCCAAAAAAGGGGCACAGAGTATTTCAGTGTAGCACAGTTTTAAGCTTAAATTAACATTTATCAGATAAGTGGAGATAGATCTATAAAAAACATTGATATAAATGTGCCAAAATAACAGTAAAATACAAATAAATGTAGAAAATGACAAAGATGGTCTTGATTTAGTCTCACTGGGCTGTGGTCTCAGACTGGTCTTGATCTTGATTAGTGCGGTCTTGAAATGATGAAAACTGAGGTATGGTTGTAACTGTTGATTAAGGGAACATAAGGGAACACTACAGTGACATGGAGATGAAGAAAACTGGGACATTTTCTCATCTTTCCTAGATTTTCAGTCAGACTTACTACTGCGAACAGAACCCGCCGGAAGCTGTCATCGAATAGAGCCACGACAACAAATTTTGATGCATGATATATTGATGAAGAAAATATAGGCTATAAATGATAATACTGAAACTAATTTATGCCTCTGACACAATATCCCTAAAGCTCCCAAAAAGCTGTAATAAGAAATATTGTCAAAGTTTTCAGCTTGTCCAAGAAAGGGTGGAAGTAAAAGGCTGGAGACCAACTGGATGTTTTAAGCAGGAGAAGTATATTTACCATCAATAATATGGGCCCGTGGGGACTTGAAAAGTCAACATAGTATAATTTCAAAAGAGAACATAGTATGATCTTTGAGTGCTCAAGCCCCTTCACTCTGCTTCCAGAGGAGGAGGTTTATAAAGTGGTGAGACTATGAAGGGCAGTAGACACCAGTTAGACAGCAATATGCCACAATTTAGATAATGGTATGCCAATGGTCTGCCAAGGGAAGATCATGGTGTAAATAGCTTTTGTGTCAATGTTAAACTGAGATGTACGTGGAAGATAAATTACTTAAATTCTCTTACAAGAAACATTTGAGTACTTAGTTTGTGGCTATAATGAGTCCTAGAAGTGATTTACTCATCCGTTTGAAGCTTAAATCTTATCGTATAGCCAACAACAAACAAACAAAAATTCCCAGTAGTGCAAAGAAAATGTAGACATGATACATACTGATCCCAAAATATATTGTCCCAGCTTTCATATATTGTGCATTAAATCCATATAGTAATTATTGTGATTTTTAACCAGATCTGTTTTCTGCTAAATCTGAGGTTTTAACCAAAACCTCCAATCTGTATTAAATGTTACTGGCCAGTAGAATGTCATCTGGAACACAGCAATAGATAGTTTTGTTTTCATACCTGACAGTTTCGCCTGCACTTGCGGTCTTCTTCTGAGGGGTCATGTGATCTCGCTGTGCGGAGTCTGTGCAAACATTTCATGCAACGACTTGTCAACCACAAGATAAAATAGTGCCGGAGCACAAATGTAATGTCATATGGATATTTTCAGTGCAGTGACATCACACTGGGGGGGATCTACGCATGTGTGTATGGTGGGATTTTCAGCAGTTACAATGGCAACACAATGGACACAACACTAAACACTGCCAAAAATGTTTTAAGATTTGAAAAAAAAAAATACAGCACATTTTCAGGAGACTACGATCAATACGAGCGCTCACGGTCCTGTTTCAGAGTTTGATTTTCAACAAAAAGGTGAGAGTGACTAACTGAAAAACTGTTGACTAATGCTAGATAGCTGTAATGTTCTGTGAGAGGGACTTAACAGCACAAATCAGCTCGCCTGTTCTAGTTTCTATTAAGTTAACATTTTAAAACTGTAATACATGCATTTGTGTCCACCAGATTGGATTATTGTAATGCACTTTATGTTTGCAACCGGTCCAAACTCAGCAGCTCGACTTTTAACTGGAATCCAGAAACATAAGAGCACCTCACCTATTTTAACCTCTGTTCATTGGCGTGTTGTAGTAGAGTCGATAAAAAAAAAAGTATTTACTTGTAAGTGTTTGCATGGCCTAGCACCCTCCTACCTCGCTGACCTGATCCATCCTTACGCCCCCTCTCGCACCAGCTGCTGCTCGCCGTCTCAAAGAATAAACTTGAGCTTTGTGGGGACTGTGCGTTTTCTGTTGTTGCCCCACAGCGGTGGAACCAGTCGCCATTAGAGATTAGACAGGTGGAGTCTGTACCTGTTTTTAAATTACACCTAAAAACCCACATTTTTTCATGGGCTTTTAACAAGTGAGATGTGCATTTCTTATTGTTGAATATCTTATTGTTTTCTGTGTTTTTTAGTACAGTATTTTCCGCACTATAGGGCGCACTTAAAAGCCTTTAATTTCATCAAAAAACGACTGCGCGCCTTATAATCCAGAGCGCCTTACATATGAATTTATAAGGGTGTCTTAGTACGACTTTAGTAAACTACAAAGCCACACCACTTGCAGCATTACGGCTCCCGTAGTCAGGAGCACCGTGGAGTAATACATTCTGTGATTCCATTTAATATAAAAAATGCACCTGTCAAGAGACACGCTTACAACGCCCACTTTAAACTCAAGGCTATTATGAAGTGAAAGTGCGAGCTGCGTGGGAGCAGTGGATGAGAGAAGGTGAACACACATTCACCAAGACAGGAAGACAGTGCCGAGGGACTTACGCCACGATCTGCCAACGGATCGTGGATGCCTGGGCTAAGGATCAGTATCAACTGTGGTCCGAGCTTTCACCATGACCGGAATCATCACTGAACTACCAGGGAACAGTAACCACACTGACTTGGATAATGACAAGAGGGATGTGTTCGTGCTGGATGCCGTAATCACCCAACTGTTTGAACAGTTATGAGTTATTGTGAATACGCGAACAGTTTAGCATCTCAGACAGTTTTTTTTGGGGTTTTTTTTACGCACCACAGTTGAACAAAGTTGAGTTATTGTGAACGCGTTAAATAAAGTTTGCCTGACTTATCTAACTGTTGTGTTTTGTTTAAAGTCCGGTGCGGTTTATATGTGAAAAAAGTTTGAAAATAGACCATTCAATGACAGTGTGCCTTATAATCCAGAGCGCCCTATAGTACAGAAAATACGGTAGTTGTATTGTGTTTGTATTGTGTTGTCCCGCTTGTGTTGTCCTTGTCTATTCTGTTTGTGTACAGCACTTTGGCCAATGTTTTCTAAATAAAGATGGTATGGTATAATATGGTAAATCAGTTATTCAGGTTGTGTTAAAGTAAATATCAGATTAAAGTCTAATAGAGCTAGTAGGCATTTCTCTAATAGAGAAGTGCCTACTGTTAGCTTCACACCCCTGGCAAAATATCAATACAAAATATCCGGCATACCTTGCAATAAAACAGGGGGGCGTTCAGTACATGAAAAAAGGTCAGAATGTAGGAACAAAAGGAAATGGTGAAGGCGTGCACACGAGCAACAAAACACAAAACTGGGCAGGAACAACTCAAATCTGTAAACTGTAAAAGAGAGAACCCTAACCCACGTTTTGGACCAGGACGAAGCAAGTATGATTGGGACAGGGGACAACAAACACTGTCGCTGGAAGGAGGAGGCAATCGAAATACAGAAACCTGTGGGACTATAAATCGAGACGAGGAGCCTTTTTACACCTGGACATCGGACTGCTGATGGCGCTGCGGTCCTTCCTCCACCAGTAGGAAAACGATGCCAAATCCCGTGTAAATGAAATGAGCCAACATGTCACTCAGATCACGTGAGCACTGAGCAGTCCAATCAAAAGAATCCATTAGAATAATTTTACTATAGTGTTTCATAGAAAGGGTGTGGCCTGTGTGGCTGGGTTTTGACTCCTCTAGGGTTAGAATTTTTTTTTTAATTAGGTCATAATTATCGTTCTTAAGACTGCAGCATTTTTCCAATAGCATGCAGCCCCAGTTTCTATTCTTAGGAAGCCTTAGGTTACAAACAATCAACAAATGTCAATCATTGGTGCTTAGAGAACTGTGTGAAAGATTTAACCCAGTAAGTTCAGTTGTCAAAATATATCAGCAGGACCAAAGCAGGACTACATTTTGACTAAATAATCAATAAGATCCTAACTGAAACTATTTGAGGCTATTTGAACCTTTTTGCTTTAGACTATGTAGAGAAAAAAGTAGAATTTTCAGATGGAGGGCTTCAGAATATTGCAATATGTTTCTTCGATACTGAAATTACGTTAACTGACAACTGATAGACGGACAACTTGCAGTATCATTTTTTTAGGGTTTAGGGACATGACATAAACTCATGCATAGATTAGTGCTGTAACAAAAAATGTCAAACTATTTCGATGTTACGGAATAGATGCATCACAAATTTCGGACTTCCGGTCATTGAAATTTTCCGAAAAAGTGAGCATCAAACTGCCATGTTTGTTTTCCCAGTGGGATGAGTCTA